AAATGCCGCGGGGGATATTTAAATCCCCCGCGGAATTTGCAATTCCGAAGTCTACATTAGCATCCCTTTTCCTGAAAGAGGTGCCAATGTAGACACAGCCCATGAGTATGTTTTGTTACCTTTCCATCGAGTCATTATGCTTGCAACAGGAATATTGTTGTAATAATAAAAGTTCTTTCTTTTCCTTTATTAATCTGGCATTGGAGTACGCTTGCTGTCATGGCTCCTTCCCCACTCTGGCATGAAAGTCTATTTAAGGAATGGAAAGCAATCAGCCTTTTGTCTTTAGCTGTCTCAGCCCATGAGTATGTTTTGTTACCTTTCCATCGAGTCATTATGCTTGCAACAGGAATATTGTTGTAATAATAAAAGTTCTTTCTTTTCCTTTATTAATCTGGCATTGGAGTACGCTTGCTGTCATGGCTCCTTCCCCACTCTGGCATGAAAGTCTATTTAAGGAATGGAAAGCAATCAGCCTTTTGTCTTTAGCTGTCTTTTGAAATTGCCTCCCCACTTTAAGATGAAATACATGAAGACACCTGAGAACAAAGAACTCTATAGAACTCTAAAAAGCTGTAGACTGGCCAGGCCAGGGAAAAAAATATCAATTCTGTCTTGAAGGATTTTACCTGGAATGAGGAGAAGGATGAGGAATTAACGTTGAAATAATTTGTCTTAGTGTGTTAGGCTTAACTGGCATGTTTTGGCTTAGTAATTTGCTTTGATCTGTCTCTTTTATTTGCAATCACTTAAATCCTGCTTTTTATATTCAGTAAAAACCCTTTTGTTTATTAACAAGCCCAGTGTAAATGGGATGAAGATGGACAACCCGTGGTGGGTAAAGAACAGGTTAGGAACTATTTAGAAAAGCTAAACGTACACAAATCCATGGGTCTGGACTTAATGCATCTGAGGGTACTGAGGGAGTTGGCAAATGTAATTGAGGAGCCTTTGGCTATTATCTTTGAAAAGTCGTGGAGATCGGGAGAAATCCCGGATGATTGGAAAAAGGCAAATGTAGTGCTCATCTTCAAAAAAGGGAAAAAGGACGATCCAGGGAACTATAGGCCGGTCAGTCTTACCTCAGTTCCTGGAAAAATCATGGAAGGGATCCTTAAGGAATCCATTTTGAGGCACTTGAACGAGAGGAAAGTGATTAGGAATAGTCAGCATGGATTCACAAAGGGCAAGTCATGCCTGACCAATCTGATTAGCTTCTATAATGAGGTAACTGGCTCTGTGGACATGGGAAAGTCAGTGGATGTTATATACCTTGACTTTAGCAAGGCTTTTGATACGGTCTCCCACAATATTCTTGCCAGCAAGTTAAGGGAATGTGGATTGGATAAATGGACGGTAAGATGGATAGAAAGATGGCTAGAAGGCCGGCCCCAGCCGGTAGTGATCAACGGCTTGATGTCAGGATGGCGGTCGGTTTCTAGTGGAGTGCCCCAAGGTTCGGTTCTAGGACCGGTTTTGTTCAATATCTTTATTAATGACGTGGATGAGGGGATGGATTGCACCCTCAGCAAGTTTGCGGATGACACTAAGCTAGGGGGAGAGGTAGATACGCTTGAGGGCAGAGATAGAGTCCAGAGTGACTTAGATAAATTGGAGAATTGGGCCACAAGAAATCTGACGAGGTTCAACAAAGACAAGTGTAGAGTCCTGCACTTGGAACGGAAGAATCCCAAGCATAGTTACAAGCTGGGGACCAACCAGTTAAGTAGTAGTTCTGCAGAAAAGGACTTGGGGGTTACAGTGGATGAGAAGCTGGATATGAGTCAACAGTGTGCCCTTGTAGCCAAGAAGGCTAATGGCATATTAGGTTGCATTAAGAGGAGCATTGCCAGCAGATCCAGAGATGTCATTATTCCCCTTTATTCAGCTCTGGTGAGGCCACATCTGGAGTATTGTGTCCAGTTCTGGGCCCCCCACTACAAAAAGGATGTGGACGCATTGGAGAGGATCCAGTGGAAGGCAACCAAAATGATTAGGGGGCTGGAGCACATAACCTATGAGGAGAGGCTGAGGGAGTTGGGTCTGTTTAGTCTGCAGAAGCGAAGAGTGAGGGGGCTTTGATAGCAGCCTTCAACTTCCTGAAGGGAGGTTCCAAAGAGGATGGAGAGAGGCTGTTCTCAGTAGAGACAGATGGCAGAACAAGGAGCAATGGTCTCAAGTTGTGGTGGGAGAGGTCCAGGTTAGATATTAGGAAAAACTATTTCACTAGGAGGGTGGTGAAGTACTGGAATGGGTTACCTAGGGAAGTAGTGGAGTCTCCATCCCTAGAGGTGTTTAAGTCTCAGCTTGACAAAGCCCTGGCTGGGTTGATTTAGTTGGGATTGGTCCTGCCTAGAGCAGGGGGCTGGACTTGATGACCTTCTGAGGTCTCTTCCAGGTCTATGGTTCTATAATTCTATGAACTGATATCTGGGAGAGAGCAACAGCTGTGCATATCTCCTGGTCACTAATAAAAAGAGCAAATCTTACATAGTTTTTCTGCGCAACTTTTTTTATTCAGAGTAAGGTGGATTTATTTGGGGTTTTGGTCTCTTTTGGGGGGATGCTCCTGGATGCTGTCAATAGCCCAATAGCTGAGACCTCCCAGAATTGGGCTGGTTCAGCATCTGTGGCGGGGGGCGAGGGGATGTTACCCCAACTCTGTGCCTTCACTAGGGGAGACCAGATCTTCTGGCCCAGCAGCACAGGATGATAGGGCACCCCAAAGGGCAGGTAAACAGGCTCAGTGGCATGATCAGCACAGTCCCAAGGGAGACTCTGTGACATCACAATCACGAGTAACAATGAATGTTGATAGAAAACTGAAAGGCAGATGGAATTCATACAAACCCAAAGGTCCAGCACCACCCAAGGACGGGGTTCAGATCATGACTGATAAACAAGGAGGGAGGAACCAGGAAGTAATGAGCCAAAATCGATGTCAAAACACCGAGAACAGCTGGAGTGAAAGGAGCAAGCTTCACTATCCTGCCACCCCCACTACTTCCTGGGCACCCTGGTTCTACTGTGAGATTGTAAGATGTCCTAGAGAACAAAATGCAAGGCCCACCTTTACAAGCTTCACATAAACCTCGCAAAGCACCTGGAATGGGAGACATGGGTTCCTGCTTTAACCTCTCCCACTTGTGTCCTCCTTCCCCACCAGATTGTGTCTCTTTGCTTTAGTTTAATAAGTGTCTAGCTTAGCCAGCCAAGATTGCGTTTTCTTGTAACAACAGTATGAGTCTTTGACCAGGAAGGCTGTTAAAAGCAATGACTTAAACCTTTCCAGACCACAGAATCCCTTTAAGTCTGATTTGTCTTGTGTACCCCCTAGTTTCGCCTCACTTAAAAACGACTGGCTTACAGAATCAGACACAAATGTCCCAGCGCACTGTTGCCGCAAAATTGCTTACGGTTTCATTTTACCAAGTAAGTGTAAAATAAGTTGAAAATATTGTACTTTTCAGTGTACCGTACATGGAGCAGTATAAACAAGTCAGAGCTTGAATAAAATTGTACTTTCTCTCACTTTCCTAGGGCTTTTGATGCAGCCTGTTGTAAATAGGCAAATACCCAAGTGAATTGATGTACCCACAGAAGACCTCTGCGCAGCCCCCAGGATATGTGTATCCCTGGTTGAGCAACACAGACCTAAATAGATGGATGATATAAGTCTGACAGATCTCGGAGTAGCTAATAAGATCATAAGCTATGCCAATATTCTCCTGGCAGAGAGACGGCAAGTGAAAGCCAATCCAAAGATGGCAGCTCCCTTTTCTATTTTTGCTATTCTTTCTCTTCCCTTTTGTTTGTGTTTGTCTTGTTTTGTGTTTAAAGAAACTGACTCAGACGTTAACAGCAACAGCAGCTCTAGCCTCACCTGCCTTTGTTTTTTCCCCCTGAAAAAATGAGTTATTATGATCATTAATATCACCTAAAAAGCTGTCAAAGAGAAGGTTTTCCTTATAAAAACTCTAATTATAGCTCAAGGGAAAGGGAGGAAGGGATATCAGTTAAATGAAAGCCTTAAGTAATACAAATATATTCAATGCTTCAATTGATTGTCTTACTGTATTTCTAATTATGTATAGATTTTAGAACAGTGTTTCCCAATTTTATTTGGCCACGGAACCCTTTTAAACTCGAAAGAATTTTGTGGAACCCCTCATAACAGTCTTATATATGGAGCTGAAAAAGTAGACCACAAATAAATAAGGATAATAATAAACAAGTGCCAAACAAGGTCATGAGATCAATATTTAGTTCAATTCCACATATTTAAAAACAAAATCACGTTTCATATGTACAAAAAATAATATTCATTATATTGGCAGTTTTCAATTCATGTGTACAAAAAATAACGCTGAAAACCTAATATTCATTATATTGGCAGTTTTCAATGCAAAGAGTGGTTTTTCTTCTTTTTCTTGGCAAATTCTTTTTATATGTGGTTTAATACGGAAAGTTGGTGGTATATAATAGGAGATTGCACCATTGACTCATTGCGCACGCAGTGCTGATGAGTGACATCATCGTCCCCTCTCTCTGGCTAAGCTAGCATTACACAGGGACACTTATTGTGGCAAACACACCTGAAAATTGTTTTCAGTAAAACTCGTACACTCATAAATGCTTACATATTAATTACTATTATTTAAATCATACATTTTACTGTAATGGAATTTTCTCACGGAGCTCTTATTTTCACTTTTGGAACCTCTGTTTTAGAGAGTTGGTGCGTCTGTCTGTCTGTGAGTCTGTCCTTTCGTGAGTCTGTTTGTTCCAGAATTCCTCCTAAATGGAAAGAGCTAGGACCTTCCCTCTCCCAAATATGGTAGGCAGCTTACTCTTATCCTAATTTAAAGGAAGGTAGGGTAGGGTTGTGCCAGGAATCCGCATGTTTTCTCAGCGCATGGAAAGGGAGGGGGCTGATAGGACAGGCAGGAGGCCAGGGCTGACCTGCATATCTCTGCTCCCCTCAGACAGGCCATTCGAAGAAGCTAGAGGCCCTTCCAGATCCTCCTCCCTTGGGAGGAGCCACCGGTGGGGGGATCCAGCCATCCCTGCCCCAACCCCCCTGCACAAGGAGCTGCCAGCTGAAGGGGCCAGGTAGCCCCCACCCCCTCCCCAAGCAGCCACCAGGATGGGGGGGCTGGGCAGCTCATCCCCAGGAAGTGCCTCTAGGCCAGCGCAACCCCACCCCCCGACAGGAGCTGCCACTGGAGGAGCACCACCCTCACTCCCATGGGCAGCCCCAGTAAGCCCTCCCCCCCCAACCTCCCAGTCCCCTGCCTTAAGCCCTCCCACTCATCCTAAGTCCTGCACACCCCCATCCTGCACACCTCCACAGCTCCCCCCCATCCTGAGTCCCCTCCTGACTCCTGCATTTCCCACACCCACAACCCCCTGCCCTGAAGGACCCAAGCAAAACCAGGTACATCTTTTAGTAAAAGATCATTTCAGTAGCATTGGTTGTCATAGGGCTAAGCTGGCCAAAAACTCTTTGTAGTCAAAAACACTGAGCCAGATCAACTGTTTAGTGTTTGTATAGTGACAGTGGTGCCTCTCCTGGACCACTTACTCCTTAGATATTAACACAGCAGATCCAAGATCTCTCTCTCTCTCCAAGCCAATGGATAATGGGACTTCTCAAAAATTAAAGGGACTTAGTGTTCATTGTCAACCCATGCTGGTTAAATGAGCAGAGTTCTTTGGACTGGAGTAGATCCACCAATGCTTCCTGTGGATTTTCTCTCACAATAGAAGGGATCAACCCCTAGGAAACACCCTTCTTTGACTAGCCCCGAGTTGCAACTGAAATCTGCTCAAGCCACGTCACCGGCAGCTCTTTCTATAGCTGTCTCATACGTTTCCCCAGAAAACACTGCCCTGCCCACAGCTCTACGGGAAGCAAACTAAATCTTAATCAATTGCTCTTTCAGAAACAACCAGGGAAGCAAGTACCAGTTCCACCACATTTTTAAGTCGCTCATCTCAAATCATGCTCTCTGACATAATAGATACATTGGGATAATGCCCTGTTCTTTTCATCAAATAAATAGGTTTGCTTTAAAAGCTGAAATATGGAGAGAGAGAGAGAGAGAGAGAGAGAGAGAGAATTCAATCTTTAAAAGATTTTGGACCATTCATAGTTGGATCACATAAATTATGAAGAATCAGGAGATGGAAATGTTTTTAAGTTTCACAGGCTAATTGTTAAACAGAAAGGCTATGTCTACACTGGTGTGTTCTCACGCAAAAACTCTTTTGCGGAAGAGTTCTTCTGCAAAAGCTCTTCCAGAAGAGAGCGTTTACACTGGCATGTGCTTTTGCGCAAGAGCATCCATGCCAGTATAGACGCTCTCTTACGCAAGAAAGCTCTGATGGCCATTTTAACCATAGGGCTTTCTTGTGCAAGAAATTCATGTTGCCTCTCTACACTGGCCTCTTCTGGAAGAGCTCTTGCACAAGAGGGCTTATTCATGAGCAGGAGTGTCAGAGTTTTCGCGCAAGAAGCCCTGATTTTATACATTAGAACATCAGTTTACTTGCACAAGAACATGCAGCCAGTGTAGACAGGCAGCAAGTTTTTGCGCAAGAGTGGCCACTTTTGCGCGAGATCGCACCAGTGTAGACACAGCCGAATCGTTCTTTTTCCTTAGACGCTTTTCCCCAGAATAAATCCAGTTTCAAGAAAACATGTTGGTTACTGAAGAAAGGGTCATGAAATCTGTAGTCTACAGAGGAAAGAAAGGGAGATGGAGCAAACTCTAGAAACTTTCACTCATGCAAGTAGTCCTAATGGAAACAGCTCCACTGACTACACCAGAGCAACATATTAATTGCACAATCCAGTCGGAGGTTGAGGCTCTGAATGCCATAGAGTTACACTCACAAATGGTGCGTTTCTGCTATGTGCTAGAATGATGAATGCAGGAAGGTTGCAAATCCAACTAAGAGCCTGGGATTTTTGTGTGTGAGAGATTTTCCCTGAAAATTATTTGTAAAGATACAAAATCAACTCAGACACTGGGGAGAGCAAAAAAAAAAGTGTTTTTTACATCTGATAGAAAGCCAGCACCGTATTTTATATCATGTGCTTATGGGTAATCTTTCATATTCCCCAAATAGATCAAAAAGTATGGGCCCCATCCTGCCTTGACTGAACTTCCATTGTCTTTAGTGGGTCAGGATTGAGTCCTAAATTCATTATAAACATAAATGCATATAGGTAAAATGCACAGGTACAAATTCTCTCCCATTACATTGGTGAGACTTTACTGGGGCTGATATGCAGCAGCTGCTTTCTACTCTGCTAATTATTGCATTACTGTAAATGAGAAGAATTTGGCCCCATCGGGAGGACAAAAATAACTCTCGGTCTACAATATATATATATATACACACTACATATCAAAAGCATATACTGCTTCCATTCCTTTGTGGAAAAAAAATGAAAGTGTTTGAGAGCAAGAGAAAATTGGGAAAGGGATATAGAGAAAGAAAGCCCGAAGGAATATTAAAAATTGCATGCGTGCCTAAGACTTCCCTCATCTCCAGACACAGATATGAATTTGATTCAACTTCTGCAAGAAAAGGGGACAAATATTGTTCTGGTATAAACTATCCCAGCATAAATCAGATCTACGAGAGCTAGTAGAAGTAATTCAGATCTATCTTGGCATTGCCAAGAGCAGGAAATGGACCTAAATTAACAGTATATTGGTTTGTCTTGTGTATTTACTATCTGCCACTTTAAAGTTCTTTCTCTGCATTTAAAACATCGTCTCCCTACAAACCCCACACTTGCTGCATTCTTTCAAAAGCCAAACAAGATTAGACATGACACAGCTCATAGAATGTCTTAAAGGCAAATTTACAGGTACCTTGGTCCTTGTTCATCGTGTACCCAAATATTTCCACCAGGAACTGGGGACCTTATTGCTGACAGCTGTTGACTGGAGCAGTCTTTAGAAGCTGGGAGCTGGGAGCTCTCTATAGAGAGCAGCAGGCTCCAAAACCTCTTATTTTATATCCTTATCAATACAAATAGTAATGAGATGGGCAGTTTGCAAGCCTATGAGAATCCTGACGTGCTCTGACGCAGTCCAATCCTCGCTCACAAACTCTCCCTCGGTCCGTGTAATCCCAGTCAGGAGCAAGCTGCTCGCGTACAATAACTGTTGCCACACCTGTGGCCTAGAGCCAGCCTTTCTTTGGAAGACAAAACATATTGAGACGGGCTGGAGGGTGAGGGCGTTCTCCAAGGTGTGCTTTATTGCTGCTCTAAAAAGAGACGTTCTTCATCAGCCGGGGATTTGAATAAACACCTCCGTTTGCTGAGCATGCTCCTTGCAGACTTTATGTGCCGGCAGTTGTGGTAGTTAGATTGCCCACTTTGTGCTCCGTCAAACCATAGGTCGGAAACTCACCCATATGGTGCTGGGGTGTGACACTTCCATCTCCTTTCCTCCCATGCACTTGTAAGCCCAGCCACGATCTGCTCTCCTGATTTTAAATGAATGTGTCATACGACTCAAGCCTGGTCTCCTCTAGAAATATCTGCCTCCTAACCACTGGTGCCTCTAATGAGCCAACAACACACCAACCACGGACATGCCAAATTGCTCCCGGCGGCACATAGGGGATCATGCCCTTTGGAGACCTGCTCTGAGCAAGGCCAATCATCATCAAGCTAATCCCTCTCATGGGGATAGTGCCAAGAACATTGTTTTTTAAAATCTTGAGCGATGATTTTAAAGTTACGGGGACCGTACCACATTAAATTGTACTCAAGTAAACCACCTAAATTTAAAGCCCTACACGTGAGCAGCTCAAACTAAAATTGACAGGCAGGCAGGACTGTTGGTAACTTCTAAAATGATGTTTTGGTGCCCTCGCTGTCATGGCGATGGACACCTTAAAAATGTGGATGAGCTTTGGCCCATTTCTAATGTGAAGGGTTTGCAAGTTTTTGTCCATTTTGTCTATGTACCCAGAAGATGCAACGGAGGACACTGGAATAAAAAATGGTTACTCAACATTGTAACTGTTGTTCTTCACCATGTGCTGCTCATATGTATTCCAACTGAGGTGTGCCCACACTGTGTCTATGCCTGCTAGAAAGTTTACTCTTGCTGCTCTCCGTTGGGTCAACTGTGGAGCCCCCTGGAGTGGTGCAG